CAAGCGCCTAACATAGAACCAAAGATCACTTTAGTGATTTCTAGAATTTTATTTGTGAATTTTGATGAGTGTCTGTCTCGAAAATATATCTGAGGGAAGAATTTAGTGTCCTTTCTCAGTAATGAGTCTCTTTTGTCTAGCACAGTGCTCAATATATGGTGGTAAATACTTATTGAAAAAAAGAATAAATTGAATGAATAAATACATCCCAATACTTTTATTTCATAACTGGCTGCAAAATAGTGGCACTAAAATGTTTCAGCATATTTAAATAGCAGTTAGCATTTAGTGCTAAATGGTATTAAACCACATGCTAAAATACTATGAGAAAGAGATATGAGGGCACTGACTTAATAAGACTTATTTATTTCTTTTATCCATCAACATGGATACGAGTATTCTTTTTTTTTTTTAAGATTTATTTTTTAAATTTATTTATACAAGCACTGGGTACAGTCAGAAGCATGGAAGGGTGAGAGAATTCACCAGAGCCAGAGCGGGGAGCAGAACAGGAAGAAAGACCGAAGTACACTGCTGAGGGGAGCAGCGGGCGGCAGGAGAGGTCTGCGTGCCATGTGGGACCCTCTGCTGGTAGCCGGGTTGCAGCTGGGGATCGAACCAGCGCTACAGAGGCTGCGGGCAGCTTCGCAACCCAGCGCTCAACCGCTGCACCACTGGGGAGGACCGATACGAGTATTCTTGCTCCTTCCTACAGTGCTTTTTAGAGATTGAGTAGTGTTCATAGCACCAACTGATAAACTTAAAAATATGAGATATGAGAAATTTCATCAAATGGTCCTTTAAGTGTGCTATTGGTCGTGTAAATAAGTGCTTTACAGGTTTTGGACTCTTAACATTTGCATTTTTTATTTCAAACTTTTTTCAAGTATTAGCAGCTGCATTAATTTATACATATAAAGCTTTATATATACATGTAACTTTACAAACATGTATAGACAATATATACATATATATAAAACTTTATATATAGTATCAAAAATATAAATACTATATATATATTGCACATAGATATTTTACATGAGATAATCTTTCCTGGTGTATAAAGCTATGTGACCTATAATATTATGATTGCACTTAAGCTGTGTATCACATATATTACTTGGTATTCTAATAATAGTGTAATAATCATCACAGTAATAGTGTAATAGTCATCACAGTGATTATCTACAGTTCTTGGATTTACAGGAGTCTGTGTCCTTGAATATTATAGATTTTTTTATAATATTTCTAATGTCTTTTTTTTAGACTTATTTTATTTTTTGCATACACAAGCTGGCGTGTAGGCCAGAGGTGTGTGTGGGGCGGGATGAGTGGAATCACCAGACACAGAGTGGGGAGAACAGGTGGGTTGACTGAAATATACTGCTGAGGGGAGCAGGGGGCGAGACAGGACCATGTGGGTCACCTACCTGGCTGGGGATCGAACTCATGCCACAGTGGCTGGTGATAGCTTGACAGTGCTGAGACTTTAACCCCTGCATCACCAGGGAGGCCCATTATAGATTTCTGTGTTGTATAAATGTTAATAGCTTTGTGTAACCTTTGTAACTAGAAAACATTTTAAAAAGGAAAGAATTTTGAAACGAATTCTTTATGATAATGCATATTTGTGCATTATCCTTTGTGACAGATAAAAGGGATTATGCCAAAGCACAAAAATACCCAAAAGTTTTGACTTAAAACTGCCTTCAATTAATATTTTTTAAAGTATGAAAACAGTAACTAAGTCCTTACATTTCAGAGGACTGGGATATATTTCATATTTCAAAGATAATAAGGTAGGGTTTAATATATTATTAACATTAGACCTTTAAATATTAAAGAATAATCACCATAAATATGAAATATATACTGAAATTATTTGAAAAGAATGAGCCACTGAACAAAACAATAGCCAACATGTTCCAACTTTTAAAAAACTTGATATAAAATGGAACCCCAATGTTAATCTGAAAAGAAGTATGCAGAATTTAATTTCATTTATAAGAGAATCAATTTAATCAAGCTCAGCTCTTTGTTTATTCAACATGGTCTTCATATTAATGTTCCATGAAATTCCAAAATATTGCATACTTACTTGATCCAATGAATCATAACAATCAGCACAAAGATTGCTTTCCTTAGAAAGTTTCTCAAAAACTTTTTGTTTATATGTTTAAGATTGTTTCTAAAAGATTTTGTAGCTTGCAATTCTAAAATTACTTATTGATTGCATTCATAGGAATCACACTTTTCCACAAATTTCTGAGTATGATAATAGCATGTTAGTTTTAGTATGACTAGTATGATACTTAACTCTTGATAGTAAAGCCCAAATATCACCAATTATCACTCCAATTTCCCAGTTATTTATTCTTCACATCATCTAGGCCATTTCTGTTGATATTAAAATACTTTTCTACTCTACAAAACATGTTTTTTCATGACATATCTTTTCACTCCTTTACTCACAAATCTGTTGAGTTTTTAACCTGATTTGGTCATTGTGCTATACGTGGAATAACTTTGCTCATCCTCATCAGTGGAAAACTCTTGTTGCATTTCATATTCTTGCTTAAACCCTACTTTTATTTTGGTTTTGTGAGTTCTTAGTAAATATATATTTTTTTCCATTTTGAAAATGGTTATTATAAATAGGTTAAGATATTTGGCTTACTGTTCATCTCTCTCTTTGATTTGATTATAAATACTATGGTGGACAAAATTGGGTTTTCAAGTCTTACTTCCCATAGTTTTAAGTATTTAACTTATACCTGGTGTTCAATAAATCTTAAAAGTCACTGAAAGATTTATGTAAGCTTTTAGTCACTAAGATATGAAATCAATAACTGTAGTTTGTAAAATGTTCTTTTGGAACATCTTTTCATCCATCACGATTATTTTTCTCTTGGTATTGCAAGCTGTAAATGTTTTTCTACTATTAGCATACATACCTGCACATACCTCCCTCATGAGTTTCCTTTGCTACAGCCTTTCCCCAAATCTGTTATTATGCTTGCCTTGTGCATTTTAATGTGTAATGAAAAACCTGCATGCATTGTGAACAGTGGCATAATGTATTCTTCTGGGTGATAAGTTATGTTTTGTGTAATGTCAGTTCCTCTCTCTGAATTTACTCTGTTCTCAGTAGATGTGTTTCAAATTAATAGAGCATTAGTCCCTAATCAAGGAAGTATTTAGGAATACATTTTTAATTAAAATGAGCTATGGGGAGGAATAAATAGTGTTAGATTTTTTTGTGTTAATTTGACATAATACATTAGTCATGTATCTGCATTATTAAAAATTAGACTATTGGTATTTCTGTAAATCCAATATAAAATGAAGGCAAATAGAAGGAAGCAGATTTAGTAGAACATTAAAAAAGAAAACTTAAAATCACACAAGCTGTGAAGTAAACTAAATCTTAAAGTATATACTTGTAAGGACCTACAGCAATTATATAATCAAACCATCTACTTGCTTACAAGCAAAGAACACTACAAGACAGATGCATCACCTGTTCTTAATTACAGAAACTACGTGATCTCCCTTTGTAGTATTATCATCTTTGCCATCAGGAAGTTCTTTTACAAGACAGATTCAATGAACAATAATGCCAGTCCTTTTGTGTATTTGTTAAAATATACTTGCTTCATTTTTTGAACTCTAGAAATTGCATTTCATGTTTTAGGCATGCAGTATAAAAGCCCACATTCTAGTCTCAGTGACTTCATAGTTATCTTCTAGTTGTTAGCAAAAATTCAGGATATATGGGAAACAAACAAAATAAGATTCAAGCTTGCCAGATACTATGTCTGCAAAGACACAATATTATTTTGCAAGCTATATGAAGAAATACATTTTTGTGTAATTGAAACATATGGTCTTTTCTCCTTCAGATGATAGAACAAAAAATATTCAATTGGAAAGTATTATTGCGATATAGATTATTCCTTTGACACTGATATTATGAGAGGAATTTATATAAATTTGCAATCCATATATTTAAGGGTATGAGTGATACCTTCCTTAGCAACCATTTCCAGGGTATTCATACAATGACATATGGTAGGCATGGTATTCAGAAATTGGAAATAAACTTTTAAAAACAAAGAGAATTTTTCCCCAAAGAAGTAAAATCTCTCTCCTCCACATAGACATTCTTTGAGTAAGAGGCAGACCCAGAAATAAAAAGAGAAGGCCTACTGACCCAGGATAGCATACCAAACATGCTCCAACGAAAGGTTCAGAGAATCAGCACTAGGATAAATAAATAATGAGTAAGAACTACCGATAAGTTCTGTAAGCCTTAAAGCAAAAAATGAGGCAAAAACTGGTATATATACAGACTAGTCAGGAGAGAAATAAATTATTTTCTGATTTATGTTGATTGAGTATGAGTTAACATCAATGCTTTGTGAGGAGGATACGACGACAGATGACTATTATATAACATATAATTCATTACTCATAATTTAAATAAATATAATATGGCCCTTGTAATTATTGCATAACATGGATTCTGGCAGGTTTTACAAAGTTTTTATTGTATTCAAAACTAGTTAAAGTATGTTATCTGCATTGTTCTCTCTAGTTTATAATGGGACGGACTTCCCAATGAATATTTTGATTAGGTGGAAATAAAGCTAGAGGAGCAACATTTTGTGCATAATGTGACTGAAAGAAACATTTGCGTTTCAGACCAAGGTACTGCCTTTTTTCAAATGACATCAAGAAGGTTGGTGGCTCAGACTTAGAGAAAGAAACTGAAGAAACCTTTAGTAATATTAGTGGTTGTGTGCACTTAAGTAAACATTTTTTCTCTTTCCAACTTTCATTTGACTCAGCAGTAAAATGGAAACAATAGTTATTCAAAGGAATTTTGTGAATACTACAGGACACACTTATTACATTTAGATCAAAGCCCCCACACATCAGTTACATGAATAGTCCATTGTGAAATAATAGATAATATTCTGTTTCTATTTCACTTCTAGGATTGTCTTCTTATCACATTGCTGTAACTTTTACTCTTCAATCTTGTGCTGAATTAATAGCAGAAACAATTTCCTCAAGTACCAGCACAGGAATGCCATTTGTGGCTTTATTTCAAGAAGCAAATGGATGGGCCTCCCCGGTGGCGCAGCGATGGAGCGCTGGGTTGCGAAGCTGCCCGCAGCCTCTGCAACGCCGGTTTGATCCCTGGCCAACGGGTGAGGGTCCCACATGGCGCGCAGACCTCTCCTGCCGCCCGCTGCTCCCCTCAGCAGTGTGTTTCGTTCAGCCTGCCTGCTCTGCTCTACTCTCTGCTACTCTGACTCTGATGAATTCTCTCACCCTCCCGCGCTTCTGACTGTACCCAGTGCTTGTATAAATAAATAAATAAATAAATCTTTAAAAATAAAAAAAAGCAAATGCTTCGAGATCTTTGTACTTAGAGGTTACCCAGTTAATTTGGAAAGTCAAACATAAAACTGCCATGTATTATTGGGTGCTTAAACAGGCAGAGTTATAAGTGTAAAATACATCTATTTACTAAATTTGGGAAAGAATTTGTTGTCGTTTACATAGAACTTGGAATTAGTTATATCTGTGTGACTCTATTTCACCATTAAAACCAGCATGCCACCTGGGATTCTGTGTTTACATCTGTGCCCCATAAGAAAAAACCCACAATGAACGCAGATTAATCATGCCTTAAAAGGCTGAAGGGTCAAAGAGGAAAGACAAATGTGCAAAAAGAAATGATACTTGGAAACCATCTCAAAATGATAAATAATTTAGCAGAGTAGAGCACATGAACTTAGCTTAAATGTGGCCACTTCTCTGCTTTATTTGTAAGTATAGCTCTGGAGACCGGCAATGAGCAATACTGCACCACTAACTCCTCATACTCCTTCGGTGATATCTGTTGGCAAACTTTTGCTGGAATATGGTTTTGAGTCATTTTATTTGTCATAGAATAATTGATATTATTTTCATGCAAGTAGACTTTTTAATTTAAGAAATAAAAGGTACAGGTATTACCGAGAACCTGTATCAATATATGTCTGTACACTTTTTGGGGGGCGGGGGGGAGGAGGGGAGGGATTGGGATCAGAATGGGGGGGTTGCAATTGTATGGGGAATATAAAAATAAAATTTATTATAAAAAATATATGTCTGTACATTTTCTTTTTTCATACATTTATATTTTACATATTTAAGTATAATTACTATATTAAATGTATAAGGCATTTTAAGCATATATGGAATTAATTGGTTCAATAATTTAGTGTAGTTAATGATATCAAACAAAGTATATGCATTTGTTACACATATTTTTCATTTCTTTTTTATTCTTTTAGTTCTCTGTCATGTATAAGAGAATGCAGGCATTTTTAAAGCATTTTGTTTATACTCATGTATTGAGCATGGCAGAAAACAAATAATATGCAAATGAAATTGCTGTTATAGTTGAATATTTAAGTATTACGCTAACCATTATGTGGAAATCAGAGAAAATATGTTAAGAATTTTAGAATATCACATTAAGCAATATTCAGCTTTCTGTTCATATAAATATATGTGTATATTTATATAAATATATTACTGAAAATATGCCCAAAATTCTACTGAAATTTGGTGACAAAATATAAGATGCATTTGAGCTGGGTTGATTCAGTATTGAAGAGGAGTATAAATGATGATTGAATTTGCTTCAGACAGTTTCACCCTACTTTACCATCAAACCCAGAAGAAGATGTGGCCAGACAGACACAAGGTGAAGATCACAGTCAGCACAATCATTCATGTTGGCCCCGGATGTACCAGTATTTTTGGGACTCAATAGTAAGTTTGTGGTGAAGAATCCAGGGCACCGAGGAACCCCAAACCAGAAATTCACCTTGCTTTAATAAAGGGGATACTTGCCATGCCAAGGCAACACACAGCTACTTTCATGTCTCAAACTGCAACCTTCCCAGCACAGACTCTGTGCAGCTGGCTGGCCATACCTAATGTGAGCTAAGAGCAAGCAGAATGCTTTTAACCAGATAGCATGTTATTCTCAGATGACTCCCTCCTATAAATTTATCTTCTCTTTCCTGATGGAGATATTAAAAATTGCTATATAGACTTTTAAAGAAACCCCACCTAATTATTTTTACCTTAACATAAAATTTATAGAATTATTATTAAATAATATGTCACTAGAATATATTTTTCTTAAAGAAAGATAATATAGATAGTAATACAAATCCTAAAACATTCCTTAGCTGACTAGTCTCTCAGTATTAGTTCAATGGAAATATTCAAGAAATACAAGATACTGTTACATGTCTACTTAAAAATCGTATCACAACTTCTGAGTCTAATAGAGAATTTAGAAAGCTATCAAAAATATTGATCCCATCCTTAAAACAGAGAGCTGATGATGTCAGGCAACCAAACAACCCAAAATCTGTGAGTATGCAGTCCCTCCAATGAGGGAAGGAACACGAGCGTTTGCTTACCTGGGGCAGATTCTGCCAGGCAACATCCAAGCTGGTAAGAAAAATTCAGTTAACATTTTAACAAATTGCTAAAATCTGAGTGTGGACTAGCATGAACAATCAGAAATTTTAGGAGCTAAAGACACCTGTTGAATTTGCCACTCAATGGCTCTTCCCCACGGACCTCACCTAGTACTCATTAGAAACATCTGGGCAAAGCAGGAGTCCTGAGAAGACATCCTTCATGGGACAGGCTTGGCGCACAGAAATACACTTGACTGCTTCTGAGGCACAAGCCACACTTGCATCCATCTGCCTTCCTCCCATTGCAAACAAAAGCCCTAATGTTCTTGGGAAAAGGCAGCAAACACTGTCATCCCCGTATCAGTGGATATAAAAGGCCTACTGCCATGGAGCGGGTGACACAGAAATGCATGCTGTATGGAAGGGATGTGACTATGTCCTGCCCCAGACAATTGAAGGTCAGGAGAAGAAAAATCTGAGAATGCTTGTCCTTTGAAATCCAGACACAGTGCCTGCTTAAGACTGAGGCTAAGGCAGATCAACAGAGAATGTTCTGGTTGTCAGGCAGTAGAGGTGGGGGAAGATACATTACAAAGAGATATGGGTTAATTTTTTTATATCTAATTGTATTTTTGGTTTCACAGCTGTATGTAATTGTCACCAAAAATGGTGAATTTGACTCTTTGAAAATTATACTCTAAAAATTATTGGGAGGGCCTCCCCGGGTGGCGCAGATGGTTGAGTGCCACGCTGTGAAGCTGTCCGCAGCCTTTGCAGCACCTGTTCGATCCCGGCCGGCCGGCGAGGGTCCTACATGGCATTGCAGACCTCTCCCATCATGCCCACCGCTCCCTTCAGCAATGTATTTCGTCAGTCTGCCTGTTCTGTTCCCCATTCTGTCTCTGGTGAATCCTCTCACCCTCCCGCACATCTAGCCTGTACCCTGGTTATTGTATAAATAAATAAATTTAAAAAATAAAAAAATTATTGGAAATAAAATAGTCATAAGATACATCATAAAGAACACAATTTTTAAATGGAAATATTACAGTAAATGAATATGCAGTTTTGAGATAGAATCTTGATTGCAAAATGCCAGTGTGAAGGGCATAAAAAGCAGGTCTAAGAAATGAAGACATGCTGAGACTGTTTCTCTTTTGGAGAATCACAAGCATATCAGCATGTTACACTCACTATTTGAATCAAAAAATACTAGAGAATCTTTTGTGCATATGCATTTCTTAAGGCAATAATTTTTCATATAATACACATCAAGGAAAGATGACTTAAAGTTCAGAACTTTGAAAAATTTCTTGCGAAGTATGAGTTAAGAAGTATTTTTCAAGTGAGTCATTTTATTTATTTATTTATTTTAAAAATATTTATTTATTCATTTTACACAAGAACCGGGGTACAGGCCAGATGCGTGGGAGGGTGAGAAGATTCACCAGAGACAGAGTGGGGAACAGAACAGGCAGGTTAATGAAGTACACTGCTGAAAGGAGCAGCGGGCCAGATGGGAGAGGTCTGCCGCACCATGTGGGACCCTTGCCGGCTGGCTGGTATTGAACCAGCACTGCAGAGGCTGTGGACAGCTTCACAGCACGTTGCTCAACCGCCTGCTCCACTAGGGGAGGCCCCTCAAGTGAGTCATTTTAGAGAAATATAATTTATTTATATAAAGTGTGACTAAAGAGAATCAATGAAGGTGCGTCCACCTCTGATGGGTAGTTAGAAAACTGACCAGAAGAAAGTTACTCCTATTGCTAATACTGTAATAGCTATGTGAGAACTGACCCCCACCCCCAAGCCTATGGCCATATTTCAGGAATTACATTAAATGAAAACACAGTTGGAAGTCAAAGTCATGGTCAATGCCAGGCAGGGCTGAGACTACATAAATTGCAGGGTTTGTTGACAAATGAAAACACAGAGCCATCATTCAAAATACCTGTATCAAAAAACAAAAACAAGTGTTGGTGAGAGTGTAGTAGAAAAGGAACCCTCTTACACTGTTGGTGGAAATGTAGATTATTTCAGGCCCTGTGGAAAACAGTATGAAGATTTTTCAAATGATTAAAACTAGATCTGCCACATGATCCAGCAACTCCACTCCTCAATAGCTATCTGAAGAATAGAAAAACACTAATTTGAAGGGATATATGCATGCTATATTCATTTCAGCACTATTTTCAATTGCAAAGTTTTGGAAACAACCTAAGTACCCAACAACATATGAATGGAGTTAGATGATGTGGTATATATACACAATGGAATCCTACTCAGCTATAAAAAAAAGATGAAAACTTGCCATTTTCAATAACACAGATGGAACTGGAAGGGATTATGCTAAGCGAAATAAATCAGAAGGAGAAAGACACAAACCAGATAATTTCACTCATATGTGGAATATAAAGATACAAATAAAGGAATAGACTAAACTAAACTAAAACTACCCCTTAAAATGTACTTGCAAAATTGAGCTTGCCAGAGGGGGAGAACAGAGGTGGGAGCAAAGTGGGGAAGGGGACCTAATGGCCTTTGGTGGACCATTTATGGCTATTTTGGTGGTGGAAGAAGTGTAACATTTATCTAAAGATCTGTGAGCCTCTATCCCTATATCTATACATGTTACAAAGCAATGTCACTGCAATAAAAAATTATAAATAGTTTGAATAAAATGTTGAAAAGAAAATTTTAAAGAGGGAAGGGGAAGGTCATTAAAAATTAAAAATTTTTCTTTTATTCTCTGTCTCATCTTGTCCTGGAGTTTATTTGCTACTCAGTGACCTCCCTTCTGCAGTGTATACTGCCTTGGCAAGTCCAGACCCTGCTAGATCTCCCTAGGCTCCTACCCT